GCATCGAATTGTGCCAGTGTAAGTCGCCTTGAGTTGCCTTCAGGCTGAGAAAGGTGGCATAGAAATGCAGTAAATAAAATAAATAATAAATAAATAAAATTTCTAGACATTTTCAGGTCCTTCATTTCAATAGGATTTGCTGTTATCTTTGGTTTTGGGTATCCATGCAAAGTCCAAGAATGTGTCTCCCACAAATAAGAAGTCTGTACTGTATTAAAGAAAGAAGTAACTTGGAGCCAAACATCAGGGTTGCCAGAGTGTAAGTTAGAAAGGGCTGCTCTACCTTTAATGGTTGTATAACAGAAGGAATTTCAGCAGGTGTTTGTAGTCATGCAATGAGGTAACAGGCAAAACCTGTTGAAATTTTTCTGCCTTTAAAGGCATGTGATCCCTCTCCAGTTTTCATCCTGGCAACTCAGTAGAAATAGGACAGACTTTATGAATGGAACAAGGAGCTGTGAGTTTATTAATAAGGCAAGGATGATTGCTTTTGAGAAACACTGAAGCAGTGCCATAGAGCCGTCATCACCTGTTCTGTGCAGATGTATTGTTTCCATCTTCCACTAGCATCTCTGGTTATACTGGGTTTACAGGTTTCTGTAGTGCTTCATGCAGCAGTTCATGTCTAGACCCGTTTTTAGTCTGCACGGGATGTGTGCATATCCATGTAGCCAAATATGGATGTATCACACCACTATTAAACCTAGAGCGTGGCTTTAAGGAAAATAGTTATGCTTGGCTATGCAATATCATACAACAATATCCTGCAATTACATAAATATTTCATTCTATTTTAATTTAAAACCAGTCTTAAGCAACTGCTTGCCATTTTCTAGCTTTTTGTTAGCACTTTCATCTGAAGTGAAAATGTCCTCTGATTTTGCTGGCACTTCTGAAGTTGTCATGTTGTCCATTGCACATTCAAAGGAAGCAGGAAGGGAGCATGATGCCTCTAATTCTAAAGAAAAGAGAATACATAGGGACTGTGTCATAGGCTGAATAAAGGAGTGCTTTTACAGTATGTTGAGTCCCCCCAGGGGTGAGAAAAGCGGTATATAAATACTGTAAATAAATTCAGCGTTTATTCGGAACTTGAACAAACTGTTGGCAAAGTGATGAGATTTGCCTCAGACCTGTCAGTATATCACACCCGTCAAATGCTTTGCATTCAGATTCTTCTGCCACATGCTGGCCATTGTTTGTAATTCTGGCATCACATAACTTTCACAACATTGTACTTTCCATTCAACTAAGTGTTATTTCTGGTGTCCATTCAATGGCTTTTTCTCCCTTTGTTGACTTGCTTCTGCTTCAGTTCCTTGCTAAAGGATCTAGTGGCCAAGCTCCCAGTCACACTCTGCTACGGGCCACATGACAGAAGCATGAATCAGTGGCCCACACCAGTGAGTCCCTTGCCAGTTCATCCCCCACCTTGCCTGTCACACCTCCCAAGTCTGACAGGCTGCCCTTTTGAAAAGAAAAACTACTGAAAGCACAGCATGAATGTTGTCCAGTCATTTTGCCATTTGTTCAGCACAGTAACTTCACAATATGAATAGCTGTAATACATTTCTTTAACAGTTTTTTTAAAAAAAGAAACTCAGTAAATGTTGAGATGATGAAGTGATCTGGTAAATCTCAGACAGGCTAGTCAGTCAGTCAGTGAACCTCGTGACTTTAAAAAATGGAAGAGGAAATCCCCCCCCCCTAAACTCTGGTGTTGAGTGTTGAAGAGGAAACTGTGCAGATCCATACAATAGTAGGGGCTTATGGAAAGTGCAAGAGATGGGCATGTGCAGAGTGCAGTGACTTTTTACAAGACCCAGCCCCTTCCTTTTGAAATTTTAAAAATCTGAGATAAAAATTTCTCCAAAATACCCCCCAACATTATCTGGAATGCCATTTTCACTCCTAACACTTCAATTCCAAAAAAAGGGTAAAACCTTTATACACACAATACCCTGGAAATGAATTTGGAAGTAAATGTCCAGTCACCTGGCCAATTTTTTGGAGATTTTCCCCCCCCCCAAAAATCTAGAACTTCAGCCTGCCACAAAGGTGCCAGGGAACAATTGACCTCAGGACAGTAGCATTTTCCAGGTTTTTTTTTTTAATTATGTCAGAAACGACTTGAGAACATACTACAAGTCACTTCTGGTGTGAGATAATTGGCCTTCTACAGAGACATTGCTCAGGAGACACCCTGATGTGTTAGCTGGTAGGCTTCTCTCATGTCCCCACAATCTAGAGCTGACAGATGGGAGCTCACCCCATCTCGCAGATTTAAACCGGCAACCTTCAAGTCAGCAGTTCAAATGACCCAAGGGTTTAACTCATTGTGCCACTGCAACTCCATAGCATTTTCCAGTGGACCCACCTTTCAAAATATAGTACTTATTGTTGACTATTTTATTTATTTATTTATTTACGACATTTATATGCCTCTCTTCTCACCCCGAAGGGGACTCAGAGTGGCTTACAAGATATATTTACATACAATATATTATATTATTAGCATACTACAATATCAGTATTATATATACTATATTGTACTATACCATTATATTGTAATATTATTAGTAATATTAGATGTAATATAAATATATAATTATAATATTGTATTATTAGTATTAGTATTATATTGTATTTTGTGGGCCGGTATGACAGTCACCTTTGTGGCTTAAAAAAGAGGATATTTGATAATTTGATATGTTGATAATTTGTTAATTTAAAAATTATTGTAGTGCAAAGTATCATTTGGCACAACAATAGTTTTTAAATTAACAAATTATCAACATATCAAGTTGATAATTCCTGGCAGTTACCCACCACAGCATTCTTGTTTTCCTCATGGTAAATTTTTTTAAAAAATGCATAGATCTGAGTCCAATTACTAGTCCCAATCAGAGTCTCTCTGAACCAATTGTTAAATGGGAAGTTAACATTTACAGACATCTTATTAGTTTGACAGGTCTACTCTAGCTGAGTCCTGCAACTGGATGACAAGGGGAGTGGGAACGGTCTGACTGATGTATGCAATGGTTATAAATTTCACAAAAATGGTTGGAAGTGCTCTGTGGGAAACATTCTTTGTGGATTAGGAAGGCCAACCACATAGTTGAATAAAGAAGAAAAATGTTCAGCAAGAAATAGCATACTTTGCTATTTTTTCCTATAGGCTGAGGTGGTCTCTGGAAAACACACCTTTCTTAAGACAAAACCAAAACCACTTTTGAAGAGCAGAGTTGAAAGTCTGCATGGTGAAAACCTGGAAAAAGGAGCTGTACTTGCAAATCCAGTTATTCATAATGATTTCTAACAGGATATGTCTTCCCCACTCTTTATCTCCCTCTCGGTGCATCAGTCTGAAAATGCCTTTCATGATATCAGCTGCTTTTCTTAATACCAAACTCAGTTCTATATCCCTTTATCACATCTGTGGCTCCCCATTTGAACTTTGAAGGGAAGGAAGAATTCTATCCTCTTAGCCTAACCCCACAGTTCAATTGTTCAAGGGGGAATCACACATTTCTAGCGTCAAACAGACTAAATAGGATTGGGAAAGACACTTGTGTGTTTTTAAAATTATATTGGCATTTGTAAGCCTCTCTGCAAGGGCTGTTGCCATTTTCATTGTGAAACAAACAAAACAAAGCTGTTTTGGTCTTTATAGTTCTGAGGCAGGAGTGATGGCTGGTTATTTCCATATCAGTTGGCTTTAGATCAGACTTCAAAGGAATTATCCAAGGTCCTGAACCCTATCCTAGAATTGTTGCAGCATATTGAATGCTTGGGCTAAAACCCAGAGTGGATTCTTTGGCATGGAAGCCATCAGTGCAAGGTGTTACGGTTGTATAAAGCTCCTTCTTTGGAGGCTTTTAAACAGAGGCTGGGTGGCCATCTGTCAAGGGTGCTTTGAATACTGTTTTTCTGCTTCTTGGCAGCGGTTTGGATTGTGGATGGCCCATGAGGTCTCTTCCAACTCTATGATTCTATGATTCTAAGAAAAACAATAACAGGAAAAGCACCCGCTGACCTTATGACTGAGGCAGGTGTTTTAGAATTGATACCAAACTCACCGAATAAGTTCATAACAATTTCAGTTCCCTGAAAGTGTGCTATGTGTGGTATGTCATGTGTTTTTAAAAGAATGGGGTTTTTTTAAAAAAAATCAAATAGTCCCCTTTGGGTATCTGCAGAAGTAAAACAAATAAATATATCTCTTATCTGATATGTAATTCTTCCTATCTGTAGAATGCCCAGAGGCCAAATACTGAATTGTCTTCTTAAAGCTAAACCCCACTAATTTTAAATAAAGCTTTTTTTTCATATCTATGAGCCCACACAAGCCCTTATCATCAGGAGAGGCAATTCTCTCAATCCCATTACCATTACAGGTGTGGTTGGTGGGAACGAGAGAAAGGGCCTTTCCGGTGGTGGCCCCACAGCTCTGAAAATCCCTTCCTAGAGAGGTGCAATTAGCCTCCTCCCTAATAGCCTTTCATTCGCAAATCAAAACCTTCTTGTGGGCCCAGGCCTTCCCTGATGACCCCAAATAGATAGTGGCCAGACAGCTCTGATAATATACACATTTTTAGAAGCCATTTTAGACCTGGAAATGTTTTATATGTCACAAAGAAAAACAGAGTTCTAGGAGCTTAACACAATTGTTTTTACAGACAAACCTTAAAGGCCTGAGGTTTAGGGAATTTTTATTGATGCACATCTTAATTTATTAATTTGTTTTTAATATGATGTGTATTAGGTGTTAATTGTTTTATCTAGTTTATGATGTATTTGTTGAATTTTTCATGTTATGTTTACTTTGCTGTTTTAGCATTGTACACTGCTTTGAATCCCACCAATGGGAGAAAGGTGGGATAATAAATAAATAAATAAATAAAATCTTTCTTGCATTGAGTATTTTGAGAAATCTTTGGCTCAGAGAAAGCTAGTACCAGTATGACGCAGTGCCATGTTTCTTCCCTTTCTCTCCATAGGCCCTTCATGCTTCTGCCTCCATTGATGGAATGGATGCGAGTCGCTATAACGTATGCTGAGCACCGGCGCAGTTTAATCGTGGACAGTGATGACATTCGGCAAACAGCCAGGCTACTCTTACCTGGTTTGGACTGTGAACCTCGGCAGCTAAAGTATATAATTTCACTTTTTAACACTGAATCAAAAACACTATAAAGATACAATAGATTTCAACCATAGTGGATTTCTACAAGACCTGTAGGTTCCAGCATACTCGGAAAGATTGTGATTTCTTGGTTTTGCATGGAAGGTCTCTGGGATATAAGGTCTTCATATGTGCTTATGGCTATCTAAATTTCAGAATTATTCTTTATCAGAAAGAGAGATTGCAAACCCTACACTGCAAAATCTTCAACTGGAAATAGCATTTATCCCTGTGTACAGATAATGGTCCCCTGGTGGCACAGCAGGTTAAACCGCTGAGCTCCTGAACTTGCTGACTGAAATGTTGGCAGTTTGAATCCAGAGAGCAGGTTGAGCTTCCACTGTTAGGCCCAGCAACCTAGTAGTTCAAAAACATGCAAATGTGAGTAAATCAATAGGTACTGCCTTGGTGGAGAGGTAATGGTGCTCCATGAAGTCATTCTGGGCACATGACCTTGGACGTGTCTATGGACAGAGCCAGCTCCTGACCTTAGAAATGGAGATGAGCACCACCTCCCAGAGTCGGACATGACTAGACTTAATGTCAAGGGAAACCTTTTCCTTTTTACAAACAATGTAGTGTTTCAGTCACACAGACTTTACCTTTACAGATCAAACACATACTGGAAACCTAGGTATATACATGCACATTCACTAAAACATGTGGTCAGTATTAGTGGCATGGAAATGGCATATAATATCCTACATGGCTTTTCCCCCATTTTAAGCCGTTGGTTTTATTTATATATTTACCATATTTATATACCACCCTTATCAGCCCGAGGGCAACTCAGGGTGGTTAATAACAATAGGAGACTTAAACCTTATGTTAGAGAGTATTCTATTAAAGAGAATGGAATACTCTCTAACATAATGAGAGAACGTCAGGAGAGAATGCTTCTGGAACATGGCCATGCAGCCCGGAAAACTCACAGCAAACCAGTATTCCATTAAATGCAAACTCTGTGTAGATTCACAGTAACTAGTCATTTTATATTCTAGTAATTTTGTATCCAGTGACAGCTATCCTGATAATCACATGACTGATATTAATCTTCAAAATATCCAGTGAGAAATCAAAATATTTGTTAACAATTCTTTTGATCGTGATATTAATTTCTGTCTTTTTTGTGGCTCACTTTATACAAGTACTGATTACTAATATTCATGCAAATACATGAATAGAGGTACCTATCAAATAAACTTTAAATTAGATACAACTGCCAAATTGCTACACAGCTTTTGATAAATCATTTAAACATCCTCTCATGTATCATCCTGTAAAACTGGTAAAAAATTTAGTATTCATGATAACAAAAAAGGTATTGTAAAGATTAATCACATTTTTATTGGACTTTAAGACTGCTCGATGAAATATGGTGAACCGAAATATTAGCATTTCCCTTAAGGATTCAGGAAAATGAATCACTGTCCAATTTCGTTCTTACAAGTCACCCAATCTAACATTAATCTCCAGAAAAGGCTGTGACCTAACGCAAATGCTAAGTATGTGGAAAAATAATTCTATAATTTATATGTAAAGAAGTGCTTTTCAAGTGTTTAGATCAGGCATGGGCAAACTTCGGCCCTTCGGGTGTTTTGGACTTCAACTCCCACGATTCCTAACAGCCTAGTGTCTCCTATCAAGAAGTTACTAGTTTCTCTTTTTTAAATATATGGCTGTTGCCTTCAGTTTAGTCCTAAGGCTGTAGTCCTGAGCCTACTACTAGAGAAAATGTTCTACTGGATGCAGTAGAATGTACTTCTGAGGAAATATATTGAAGTAGGTAATTCCATTGTTACTGGCATGGTGAATTGGTTCCGGGTTTTAATCTCAGTTTTAAAATCTCAGCCTGGCATTGGAGTCTCAACGGCTTCTTGTGCTGGGGGACTTCAATGTACATGCCGAGACTTCCCTAGGAGGAGCGGCTCAGGACTTCATGTCATCCATGGCAACCATGGGGCTGTCCCAACAAGTATCTGGCCCCACCCACTGTGCGGGACACACATTAGATTTGGTTTTCTGTCAGGGATGGGAGCAAAGTGGCGGTGTTGAGGAGTTATCCACCTCTCCGTTGCCATGGACCGACCACTATCTGGTCAGATTTAGACTCACCACACCTTCTAACCTCTGCAGAGGTGGGGGACCCATTAAGATGGTCCGCCCCAGGAGGCTTATGGATCCGAACGGATTCCTGACGGCTCTTGGGGATTTTCCTGCCACCTCGGTTGGTGATTCTGTTGAAGCCCTGGTGTCTCTCTGGAATGGGGAGATGGCTAGGGCCATAAACACGATTGCTCCGGAACGTCCCCTCTCAAGTAGCCGAGCTAAACCAGCTCCTTGGTTTACTGAGGAGCTGGCAGTGATGAAGCGAAGGAAGAGGGAACTAGAGAGCGTGTGGCGTTCGGATCCGAGCGAGTCAAATCGAACACGGTTTGTGTCCTTTCTAAGGGCATATGCCGCGGCAATAAAAGCCGCAAAGAAGACTTTCTTTGCGGCCACTATTGCGTCCGCAAAGAACCGTCCGGCGGAGTTGTTTCGAGTTGTCAGAGGGCTATTGAACCCCACCATTCCGGATGGGAACCCTGACAACTCGACGGCCCGCTGTGAAGCATTTGCTCGGTTCTTTACGGACAAAGTCGCTTTGATCCGCTCTGGCCTGGATACCACATTAACGGCAGTCTCTGAGGATGTAACACGAGCACCTGCTTGTCCGATTTTGATGGATTCATTTCAATTGGTGAAACCTGAGGATGTGGACAAGATACTTGGAGGAATGAGGGCAACCACATGCATCCTAGACCCCTGCACATCCTGGCTTCTAAAGGAGGCCAGAGGGGGATTGGCCGAGTGGGTTAAGGTGGTGGTTAATGCCTCCCTTCGGGAAGGCAAAATTCCAGCCAGCTTAAAACAAGCTGTGATAAAACCGCTGTTGAAAAAACCATCACTGGACCCCACTCAATTCATCAACTATCGGCCTGTTTCCAATCTCCCCTTTTTGGGCAAAGTCCTGGAACGTGTGGTGGCCTCACAACTCCAGGCATTCTTGGTAGACACTGATTATCTGGATCCGGCACAGTCTGGCTTTAGGCCGGGACATGGTACCGAGACAGCCTTGGTCGCCTTAGTGGATGATCTCCGCAGAGAGCTCGACAGGGGGAGTGTGTCCCTGTTGGTCCTGCTGGATCTCTCAGCGGCCTTCGATACCGTCGACCACGGTATCCTTCTGGGACGCCTCGCGGGAATGGGCCTTGGTGGCACTGTTTTACAGTGGCTCAGGTCCTTCCTAGAGGGTCGTACCCAGAAGGTGTTGATGGGGGACAGCTGCTCGTCCTCACAACCTTTGTCTTGTGGGGTCCCGGGGTTCAATACTGTCTCCCATGTTGTTTAACATCTACATGAAGCCGCTGGGAGAGATCATCCGGAGTTTCGGGGTACGGTGTCATCTGTACGCATGATGTCCAACTCTGTCACTCCTTTCCACCCACTACTAAGGAGGCTGTTCAGGTCCTGAACCGGTGCTTGGCCGCTGTGTCGGTCTGGATGAGGGTGAACAAATTGAAATTGAATCCAGACAAGACAGAGGCACTCCTGGTCAGTCGAAAGGCCGAACAGGGCATAGGGTTACAGCCTGTGTTGGACGGGGTTACACTCCCCCTGAAGACGCAGGTTCGCAGCTTGGGTGTGACCCTGGATTCATCGCTGAGCCTGGAACCCCAGGTCTCAGCGGTGGTCCAGAGGAGCATTTGCACAGCTTCGGCTCGTGCGCCAGCTGCGCCCGTATCTTGGGAAGTCGGACTTGGCCACGGTAGTCCACGCTCTGGTCACATCCCGCATAGATTACTGCAACGCGCTCTACGTGGGGTTGCCCTTGAAGACTGCCCGGAAGCTCCAGATGGTCCAGCGCTCGGCAGCCAGGTTGCTAACAGGAGCAGCTCTCAGGGAGCATACCACTCCTCTGTTGAGCCAGCTCCACTGGCTGCCAATTCCCTACCGGGCACAATTCAAGGTGCTGGCATTAGCCTACAAAGCCCTAAACGGTTCCGGCCCCACTTACCTCTCCGAACGCATCTCCTCCTATGAACCGACACGGACATTAAGATCGTCCGGGGAGGCCCTGCTCTCGGTTCCGCCTGCGTCACAGGCACGGTTGGCGGGAACGAGAGACAGGGCCTTCTCGGTGGTGGCCCCTCGGTTATGGAATGCCCTACCAAGCGACATCAGACAGGCCCCTTCGTTGCTGGCATTTAGGAAGAAGCTCAAAACCTGGCTCTTTGAGCAAGCGTTTGGCTAATCAGCGCAATGGCACACAGAATGACGGTAAACTGAACATAGGAACGGTATAAGGATATGAGACTGGATCTTGTTTGCGATCGAGGCACGGTATGAATGGTTGTGTGTTTGTTACTGGGTATGCTGTGTTTTAATTGTTATTGTTGTGGTAATTAATATTGTGTAAACCGCATTGAGTCACCTATTATAGGTTGAGAAACGCGGTATAGAAATAAAGCAAATAAATAAATAAATAAATAAAACAGATTTACTAGGTGTTGAACATATTTTGGATGCAATAACAGTGTTTTCTGCCAATACTCCCGCAGAAATCTGCAGAGCAGCCACTTGTAATTCACTTTCCATATTCGTTAGGCACTATAACTCAACAGCAGTGGTTCCCAACCTGTGGTGCAAAGACCACCAGTGGTCCACAAGAATGAAAATATGACCCGTGGCCTCACCATTACTACACCATTGCCTCGAAACCACGCAGCAACGAGAGCAACTGGTCTTGTGAAACCCTATTACAGTGCCAAGGCAACAGGGTTGTCGGGAGGGGAGAGGCTGACTACCAATGAAAGGTTACTAGTACCACATCAGCTCTAGATTATTAAATATGGTTTTCTGTGTGTGATCAGATGGTGGCTACTGGATGGCATATGTTCTATATCAGAAACTAAAGCTGATGTGGTCTATCCAGTGCAATTTTCTGAATCAGCACCCCAAAAACCAAACCGAATCTAAAATTGACCAAAAATTGATTTGCAACCCTTTTGGTACTAATGTTGGAGAGTGGTCCCTGGTTAAACTGGTATCTGGTCAAGTGGTCCCTGGTCAAAAAAAGTTTTGACAGTGAAGTTTATCACTAGAGTGGACTGTCATATGATTTATAGAAGTAAACTGCCATGCTCTGTCCCGCGCATAATTCCCTCCAAGCTTCCAAAAACGTTATAGACTTTCTCAATGGTGTGGGCTCAAGTTTAGGTGAAAGGGGAGCTTCCCCAAAGTTCAGCAGAGCTACCTTTATGCAGAGCTTTTCTTTCCATAGAAGGCAGATTCTGAATCAAGGCCATTGTGTCTGATGAGTAGGCTGGCTATGTATGCAAAAAATGTTGGCTGATACTTAGAGTTACTCTGCAGATGCAGCAAAATGAGGTGGTAGTAAACTGGATTGATATCTCTTGGGTTTGATGGTAGGCCATTCCCGCAAATGATGATTTAGTACTTCATAAATTTAGCACAACATCCTGTTCTCGATTTGTAGGGAGATTTTTCATAAGGGTGCACTTAGAAATAAGAACTTTACGAGTCTAAACTAGTAGAGTCCATTCTGTTGCCTTGAGTCTCTGTAGTGTCATAAGTAGACTGGGTTTCGGGGTAATTATAAAGAAGATGTGAAAGAGCTGGTAATAACACAGAGTAACAGTGTTTGTATCTTCTTGGTAAAATAGGATTAACCATAAAATGGAGACTTATCGAAATTTAGGACTGTAACTAAAAGGATGATTATTGCAATGATGGTATGATCTTTTTAGAATCCCAGGTGTATTTTTCTTATATGTCTCCTTAACAGACCTGAGTGCTGTTTCAGTTCATTCCGGAGAATGGATGCCAAGGCTGCTACTGAAAAATTCCAGCAGGATCTGGGATTTCGAATGCTGAACTGTGGAAGAACTGATTTGATCAACCAGGCTATAGAAGCATTGGGACCTGAAGGGGTTAATACAATGGATGATCAGGTATTGAGAATACACTGGGAGAAAATCCTTTGCTTCATAATCAGTTGGTATTATAGTGGCCCTTAGTGTCTGTCGATGCTCAAGTCCCATTATATACGCATGACACAGTAAAATAGTGTCCCCTTATGCAACATGGCAATAGCGGAGTTTGCTTTTTGGATTTTTTGAAAAAGTCAAACTGGAAATAAGAATCTGTGGGTCTGGAGGGCTGACTGTATGAAGAAACAACTCTCTTCTCTAAACTATCTCACACAGCAAATCCAAGTGTGTGATCTGTGCTGCCATTTGGAAAAGCAATCCTGGCAAAGCAGCCTTCATTCTCAGTAGTCTTCATGCACTCACACTGGTTGTCTCTTGCAGCAGTGCTAGCAGCCTCTTTTCTTTGGGTAGGGTGGAGGAAGGAAGAAAACACAAAAAAAAAAACCTGTGATTTCCCAACTAAAGTATGCAGGACATGTTTTGAGTGTCCCTCCTCCTTCTCCTCTCTTCTCTCTCCGCCTATTCTTTTATCATCATTATTATCATCATCATCATCATCATCTGTATTTATACCCCACCAGCATCTCTCCGAAGGGGACTGGGGGGGGGGGGGGGGGGGGGGGCTAACATGAGGCCAAGCCCAGAATTACAATACAACAAAATAAAATACAAACAAGCAAATAATAACATCAAAATAAAATACATGAAATAACAGAATATAAAATAAACACATGCAAAATAACATGATAAAGAAGCCCACAAAGAAATCGCATGAGGTGTCCACCTGTCACCACTGTCATTGCTCAATGAGTCAGAAAACAGCAACAAGAAAAAGTCAGAAACTCAATTTCATTAATCTGAAAAGTAGTGAATAATAAGCGTCACTAACATTCCAGTTCATTACTGCAGGACGCAATTGGTTTCCAAAATGACTCATTACAAGTAATACATTTTTCAAAGCTCTAATATAAAGAGATACTTAGCTCATAAGTTCTAGAGGAGATGATTGTTTCTGCAAACAATAACATCATTATGTTCCTAAGCTTTTACTGATACTCTTATGAAGCTGAAGACCAGAAGTGGTAACCATATGGTCCACCAGATGTTTTTGGACTACAGCTTCAAATGTCTCTGACCATTGCTTATTTGGCCTAATGCTGACGGGAGCTGGAGTACAACAATATCTGGAGGGCAACATGATTCCTTTCTCTCTTAATAGAGCTTTAGGCACATAGCAATGTGTGTCTGCAAATGCAAGTAAAACAACTCTATCTAGCTGCCATTTCAGTTCAGTTACATTCACCAGCAAAAGCTCATCACTGATGTCTGACTTGGTTGGAATAACTTTGCGACTCATGTAGTACAAAATGTGGGACAAGAGTGAGAAGTACTGCAGCCTTTGTGAACCACTTTCAATATTTCTATATTCAAATTTGTATGAATTGCTGTTGAACTCCAATCTTGTCAGGGGCCGGGGTGGAGAGAAGAAGAGTCTCTGTAGTCTGGAAATGTGTGGTAGCATTGTTGTAAAAAACTTTGTACATAGCTCTCATTTAGGATTAGCTTCCATAAGTTTATGGAAAGATCTTGCATACAAAACCTGTGTGGCTATGTGTTTTTGATTTGACTAAAGGCCGAGAGTGTCAATGAAGCCACCCATTTTAGTGGATTTTTGCTTGTCTTACATTTCTGTGGGCCCACACTATTCTCCAGGTCCCCATTATCTAGACTCCCTAACTGTAGCCTGAGAATGAGTACAAATTTTGTTATCTTCTCCATCCAATCTTAGTTTGAGAATCCCTGTTGTTTATGAAGTCTGGGTAATCCAACCAATAATCTAGTTAACCATGCTATACTATACTTGTTTCATTTGTGGTGTGGCTCTCTTAGTTTCAGTGTCTTGCAATAGAGAAACTGCCACATAATTTCTTTTCACGGAGATGTCTAATACCTACAAACATAGTTATATATTTTTAATAATAATAACAATAATAATAATAATAATAATAATAATAATAATAATAAATGTTATTTATATTCCACCCTTTCTCTCCTAGGGGACCCAGAGCAGATTACAGCATTTACAGGAGACATAGGCAAACATTCAATGCCTTACAATCACATACAATGAGACACACAAACACAGACAAGGCAAAGGCTTCTCCTTTCATAAAGTGTGCTATTATTATTATTATTAATGTTATTATTATTATTATTATTATTATTATTATTATTAAACATGATATATACAAATGTAAGATCTTATGAAGCCTGCACTACCCATCTATTCATAAAGAAGTTCCAATTAATTCATTACTTACTCCTGAATAAAGGGTATACAAAATCTCAGGTGCAGGACCCCTTGGCCCATTTGAAAATCTTTCTGTTTTGAAAGCCTTCCTGAATAAAAGGTTTTATTTTATTTATTTATTTACAGTATTCATATTCTGCCCTTCTCACCCCGCAGGGGACTCAGGGCAGATTACAATGTACACATACATGGCAAACATTCAATGCCATAGACACACAACACATATAGACAGACAGTCAGAGGCTATTTAACATTCCAACTTCTGGCTACCAGGGGAGCTGTCTCTTCACCATCCATCTGTGACACTGATGAAGTACTTTCTGCATTCCCCGCATGCTTTTGCTGGAGATTTTTTATGGCCTCATAAATTTTTGTTTAATTAGCCTCCCCACACATAGGTGGTACCTAAATTTCCCACTTTAGCCTCTCACCCAAAGGTTAGCAGGGAGGAGGTCATTCTCACGTCCCTGGGAAGGAGGTATTTCCGGAGTTGAGGGGCAACCACGAAGAAGGAAGGCCTGCTCTTTCGTTCTCACCAGCCAGACTTGAGATGGAGGTGGGACTGAGAGAAGGGCCTCTCCTGAAGATCTCAGGCAGATTTGTACAAGGAGACACAGTCAGTCAAATAGCCTGGACGTGAGTCATCTAGGGCCATAGAGCTCATAACCAGCACTTTGAATTGTATCCAGAAACAGACTGGCCGCCACTGAAGCTTCTACAACAGGGGGGTTGTCCACTTCCTGTAGCCAGCCCCAGTTAATGTTCAACAGCAGCATTTTCAACTGCTATGGACATTTAAAAATGTGACCCCTCATTGCCAAAATTCATTTTACAAGGTTACAGCAGTATCCACAAAGGATGCACATTATACATTTTACATGCAAACTTTGCTCTTTGTGAGATTATAATCTACAGGTTCTGTAACGGTACATAAAAACAGTGTTTAGCTGACCAGATGTTTTGTTTCTAAAGGGTATGACTCCACTCATGTATGCCTGCTCCGCGGGAGATGAAGCTATGGTCCAGATGCTTATTGATGCTGGAGCAAATCTAGATATACCAGTAAGTAAAGGCACTGCATGCAAGGGTATCACTCACATGTAAAATGGGCAAGAGTCATAATTTAGCAACTGCAGAAAGAGTTTTTATGGAAGATCATGTCAAGGTTTTTTTTTTCAAAAACATGTCTTTTTTTATTGGTACTAGAACAATAAAGCTTAAATCACCTTCAAAGCTTGCCACAGATGAGATAATGATTAACACTGGCACTGTAACAAGGAGACTGGGGGCAAAATGTTGCCCCTCTGTGAGAACAGCCTTCAAAGAAAACCACTAGATGCATTAGAGGAACCCAAGGGATTGAATACACTGATTGGTGTTGGCAGTACATTCTGAGTTGTGTCAGCTTGCTACTCCCAAGGGCTGCAATTTACCAAGGATGGGCCACTCTCAGACATATTTAAAAAGTATAAAGAGAGAGTTTAAAATGGCAATGGATAAATATTCTTTCACTTGTTTTTTTTTTTTTTTTTTTGCCACTAGGTCCCTGGCAGTTCATCTCGATACCCATCAGTTCACCCTGATAGCCGACATTGGACTGCACTCACCTTTGCTGTGTTACACGGACACATTTCTGTAGTTCAGGTGAGTAAAAGGCAAGACATAAATCTTTCAAAACAGTTTGATGTGAGAACAAAGTTGACAAGACAAGAGCTCCTCTTCACAAATTACACTTTGGTAAATTGAACATCTTATCTGTGTAACTCACTTTTTCAGTCACTGCAGAGGTCAGAGTCTTCTAGGTCTCTCACACAATGACCCAAATCTCCCATAAATCCAGATTTTGTTTTCACACTTCCTGCTCCCAACATGGTCATGTAATGGCTAGTGGAAAGTGGGAGACATTTTAGTGTCTGGCTACAGGGACATAGCTAAATGCTTCTCAGGTGTCTGCTACTCTCCACTTTCCATCTTTGTTAGGGACTGGCAGTGTGAAAAAGGTATTTTACAGGGAGAGGAGACAAGAAACAGGCATATTTCCACCTGAAGAATATTTATAATGCAGTATAACCCCTGTATCTGCAGGGGATTCATTCATGAACGTTTTGTGGAAACAGGAAAAGGTGGAAAATAGCAAATGCTATTGAAAAAATGACTTCTGCAGAAGTTACCATAGAGTCATCCTAGAGAACAAAAAAATTTCTAGACAGGTATCCTATCAAGAAACATGGTAGGTCTTCCAGGGCAACTTCAGGAGGGAGCATATCACAGTGCTTAATGGACCTAGAAAATTCCTAGACATGTAATGTTTTCAGATTCAAGTAGGTGAGGCCACAGGCATTCCTCCCACAGATATGGGAATCATCCTATACATTTTCATAAAACAGCATCTTGTCCATGATGTGCAGACTCTGAAGCCAGTCATTTCTCCTGATTTCAGAAAAGACTTTGAAGGATATATTTGTACTAAAGCTATATGTGTGTTTCTACCAGTTGAACTATCCAGAATTAGGAGCCTTGAATTATACAATTATGTGATTGGAGAAATGAGTTTGAATCACTGCTGAAGCACAAAAGCCCATTGGATAAACTTGGGCAGGTTGCACTCTCTCAACCTCAGAGAAAGACCAACTCCCTCTGAACAGAACTTGCCAAGGAAATTCCATGAGAGCACACAGCAATTAAAGTAGCAAGAATTGCCAGAGATTCCTGGCTCCTCTAACAGAAATCCAGTTCCCAAGAAAGAGGAGACGAATATTCAACAATCTCAAATCAGAAGCAAATATATATAACTCAACATTGCTTTCATAAAGGGTTCTTCTCTTCCAGAAATGGTCACTTTGTATCCTCAAGTATACATAAACATTGCATGCATCAATTGCACAGATTCCCTTGCTGGTCATTCTGAGGCTGTTTTATGAGATTTCCCCACACTATTATTATTTCCAACACTGATTGTGCAATTCATTACTGTAGATCAATGGAGTCATCTGGATTTCCCAGGCTTCCTGATAATTACCATTTCCTTATGGATGTGGCAAGAAGGAATTCATTTTACAAGAGTATGGGAGACAATTTGAAAAACTCTGGTATCACACCGCTTCTGCTAGTCTGGACTCTGGCCATCAGAAATTTTTTATACTGGTCAAGGAGAATTTGAAAGTATACGTATAAATGGAATTAAGCATGGATCTATTAAAATTAAATAGCTAAAACAATGACAACCATTAACAATCTGAGTGAAGAGCTTGGGTATCAAACTAAATGTAGTTGGTTTCCAATAGTGGAATCAGGAACAAATCTTGGAGACCACATGTTATCAGTCTGCAGTGAAGAAAAAGAGTATTATCTCCATATGCTTGTAGATGTATGGAATTTATTCTGTAAAAATTCCAACACATTTTGGCCTGGATACAGATTAATTAGCTTCCTTGAAAATAAACAACAACACAATTTGAGCATCCCTTATCTAAAAAGTTGAGGATCTTATGTCTTCACCAGTAATGGCCCCACCCTCTATCCCATGTGCATATTTAGTTGGGAATTAAGAATGCATCCTTCATATATGGAGAACCATTCTATCTTTGTAACTATTTCCATATTATGTGTGTGAGCTCAGTAAAGGAAATGTGAATGGCTCCTTGGTGAGAATGAGTGTTAATTCAGTAGCTGTAAAAATGCAAATCACGTGATTGGAACTGGATTTGCTATCAATAGCTGTCAATAACCTATCAATAGCTATATTGACAGGTTGCTTTATCAGAGTCATATAATCATAGGACATTAAAACATTCTCAAGAAGAAGCATAAGTGGTCAGCCTGTCCTTTCCAAGCACATCAGGTGTTCTCTTGCTGCTGTCTTCTTCCTATGTGATTATCTTTGCTGTGGTCAAAGGTGATGGAGAATTCGGGACCATTGATTCATTGGAAGCCCTGATAATACATCCATCTTCTCCCTTTCATGTCAATGGGAATTAAAAACAAACAACAGCCAGTTGTCAGCTGGGGTGAGAGAAATAAGCTCTTTCTCTTCATATAAGTAACACGTTATTGTGGATGGTGTGCATTGAGTTTTGAATTATATGTATATGCAAATGCCCATGCAAATGGGATTTCACCTTCAAAGACTTGGAGCTTTGCCAGTGCACTCTTTAGTATTGCAAAGGTTGGGCATGCTTAATTTACACTTGAGATAATAAGTCGGGGTTTTGCCCCAGAGACACCAACAGAATGTCTTAGAAGGAATTAAGTCGTGAATTCTCTAAGCCATGTTTATGTTAAATACAATTAATGTTTATTCCCTCCCAGTTGTTTGGTTGTGAACATTTCATTTCTGAAAGTACAAATTGTCAACTGATTCTAGTAATCTCTGCAAATTATTGCATAACCAATCCTGGTATCGAAAGGAATACGTCATGGGTAGAGATATAACCTCAGGTTGATCTATTCTGGCATTTGTGTGACTGACAACGTGCAACCTGACAAGCATTCAGAAGTACAAACCAAAAGGCATTTTCCTGCTAGCAATATTTATTTTCCCTCAGATTTTATAATATTTTAATATTACCTGGGGGAAAATAGCTATTTGAACAGTTTCAACAGATGCTGGAAAAACAGGGGGTTTAGAGCTCTGATATATGTTTTGGACTACAATTTCCACAATCCCTTTCCTTGGCCATCCTGACTGGATCTTGTAGGAAATAAAATCCAAAACATCTAGTCACATACTTCCATCCTTTAAAACAGAACCCTTGTTGTTGTTGTTGTTGTTGTTGTTGTGTGCCTTCAAGTAATTTCTGATTTAGGATGACCCTAAAGTCATTATAGTGTTTGGTCATTATAATGTTGCAAATAAGACAAAATGCAGCAGCCAGGCAGGCATCAGATGTACATTTTAGGTTCCCTTATAACAACTGGTCCTCCAAGAATTGCACAGGCTTCTATTTGCTTCTGAGCTCAACTCAAGATACTAGTACTGACCTAAGATGCCCTAAATGACTTGGGACCAGGATATCAAAAAGGCAGCACCCTCCCATAGGAGCCTGCCAAAAATTTGGGATCTTCAGAGAAGACCCTCTTGTGTATCCCCACACCTTGGGAAGTTGGGTTAGTGGGTATACCTAACAGGGTTTTCTTTGTAGCAACTCCTTGTCTGTAGAACTCCCATCCAAGGAAGTTAGGCAGGCCCACCTGTTTCAAGCTTCCGATGGGCAGCCAAAACAGTGCTGTTCCACATGGCGTTGGGTTTTCAAAATGGCTATTAAACTATTTTAAACCTGGGTTTTAGGATCCTTTTTAGAGTTTATGGGTTTTTAAATAGTTTTTAACACACTTTTCAAGTGCTCTTACCTTTGCAATGTTTTGATTGGTTTTATTTGCTTATTTCCTTGGGAGCCTTTGTGGACTGGGAATAGTATAAATTAGGGATCCTCAAACTTTTTAAACAGAGGACCAGGCCACAGTCCCTCAAACTGTTGGAGGGCCGGATTATAATTTGGAAAAAAACACGAATAAATTCCTACGCACACTGCACATATCTTATTTGTAGTGCAAAAAAACACTTTAAAACAATACAGTAATTAAAATGAAGAACAATTTTAACAAATAAAAACTTATTAGCATTCCAATGGAAAGTGTGGGCCTGCTTTTGGCTGATGAGATAGGATTGTTGTTGTTGCTGTGTGCTTTCAAGTCATTTCAGACTTAGGTTGACCCTGAACAAGTGCTGGGTAAATGTCCTTGGAGGGCGGTATCCGGTCCACGGGCCTTAGTTTGGGGACCCCTGGTTTAAATCATAGAATCATAAAGTTGGAAGAGACCACACACACTTTCTACTTCAGCCTCCTGCCTTATAAGAATATATAATCAAAACGTACACAAACAAATATCAGTAAAGTGAGGTGAACCTTTCACAGGGTCTTCATAACAATATTTGTTCAGAGGAGGAAGGGCCCTGGAGATGCAGGAATAAGACAGAATGAATGCTAAGAAGATTATAGCAACTTAACTTCATAACAATTGAGAATGAGAATTACAGGGTTAAATGAAAAGAGGCTAATTGAAAAGTTTTGCAGTTAAACTGGATTTTGAGGACAGATTAGAGAAATAGAGGTTTGCATCCTATCAGAGAGCATATTTCAGACATGAAGAATGAATGGAATCATTTTTCACAAATCAAAGGTTTCCAAGTATTCATTCCAATATTTTTTCAATAGAAGGCAGTGATATTGATTTTTTTTGCCATTTTTTCATGTCTTACCGGGAAATGGCTTTTCACTTTAGATAGTTGGGCACCATTTTCCTGATTTGGATAGAGTATTAGGTTTGTAGTAACAGTTCTGTCACAACTTTGGGCACCAGGGAAAGGAGATGGGGATCCAAGGCCCATTAAATTAGCATAAGGAGGTTCTCATATGGGACCTGGGGAGTGGGAAACAAGAATCCTATGCTGCTTGGGGTTGTCCGTCCAACCTTTCTCTGCTTCCAGGTGGCAGGAGGACCACAATAGGTTCTGCCCATTCGAAATCTGCCATCTAATTGGAGGGCTCGGCAAGCACTTTGGGTTCACTGACCAACAGGCAGGTCAGTTGATGCCTGGATCCAGGTCCATGTCAAGTTTATTAGCAGTTGTAACCAGACAATGGTCTATATGTGGTCATTAAGCATATTTGCCACAAAGTTCACAAATTATTTTTTTCATGTGTTAATCTGCATTCTCTTCTCACTGTAATTTAACTGATTTTAGAATTAATGAGCAAGAAGTCTACTTGTGCCGGGGGGGGGGGGGGGCAGATAACCACTTTATGTTCATCAGTGACTTCAGGGAAAGAACGAATGCAGCAAGCCTGCTGATTTTTTCCAAAAATAGTTATTTTTATTTTTCTTATGCTGTTTTTATGAATTGTTTGTTCCTGTCTTCTTCAGTTGCTCTTGGATGCTGGTGCTCATGTTGAAGGTTCTGCTGTGAACAGTGGAGAAGAAAACTATGCTGAGACTCCACTTCAACTGGCTTCGGCAGCAGGCAAGTCTCAACAAGAATTGCATTTTCACTCTCCAGAAGCAGCAGGAGAAGTGTAGAAGCCAAAGATATTAAAAGTAGTTGTGTACAATATTAATGTTGCATTCAAACTTCAACATGTCAAAACTGTGTCCTTGTTGCACAGACTAGGAAAAATGATGTCGGAGTTGCCAAATGAACTTTTTTGTTTAAAAAAACCAAAAAATTATGATAATATTTTAATTCATAATATATTTAGTTTGCCCAATGGGACACTGCAGTTATGTATATAGCTAGTCCTGTGAGCTACATTTAGAAGGTAATATACCAATAAAGTGTACACAGCTATACCCAATTTGAACAATCTCTTCTTCCTTTTTGAGGTGGAAAACTCATAGAAATCATGTGTTTAAAAATTGATTTTAGTGAATGCACAATAGAATTTCATCTCAATCTCCATGCCCTACACTATGCACAGGATTTCCATTTCATCAAATTGTTGCCATGCATGCAACAATTAAGACCTGTGTTTTTCTGCTTTACACATTTTGTGTTGTGAAAAGGTGACACAAAAACTTTTTTCACAACAAGTAATTCAGTAGATGGAGAACTTTAGGAAATACAATTTACCTTATTCAAAATGCTTAAGACCAGAAGTCTGCAGGATTGTGGTTTATTATTATTATTATTATTATTATTATTATTATTATTGACTGCTTATACTTGCATATGCATACATCATGATGTACTTGCATCTTGGAGATGGAATCCAAGTCGAACCATGAAATCAATTGATGTTTCATTTGCACCTTATACACATAGCCTGAAGGTATAATCTCTTCTTCCTTTTTGAGGTGGAAAGGTATAATGATACAATACATTGAATAATTTTGCGTATAAAATAAAAATTGCGTACAGTGAATAATCAGAAGCAAAGGTGTCTCTGTCTCAGTCACCCATTTTGGAATAGTTTGGATTTCAGAATTCTGGATAAGGGATGCTCGACCCATACTAATGAAAGTAACATTGCTTGTCTTTGTAGGCAACTATGAGTTGGTCAGTTTGCTGCTAAGCAGAGGAGCAGATCCTCTTTTGAGTATGTTGGAAGCTAACGGGATGTCCTCATCACTTCATGAAGAAATGAACTGTTTTAGCCATGCCGCTGCACATGGACATAGGTAAACCACATATTCTGGCTACTTGTGCTTAGGTTCCTTTTGCAGACATATATGCTCACTGAGTGAATGGTAACAAATAAGACACAATGCATGGGAAATAATGTCTTTTTCACCTTCAGGGCTTATAGTTCTACATGTGAAGTTACTTCACTAAGTTCTTTATATAAAGAATGTTACTCTGAGAATTTCACTCATAGTCCTATACATTGAAGGAACATGTGAATAGAGATTTAATTTCTGATGAAACATAATGAAAGTCATGTTTGGTGCATTGATTGCCATTTCAAGTGATATATTTTGGACAGCATTACTGTTGTGGACAGTAATGACATCCAAAATGTTCTACACTTCAGCAAAATTTCAATGAAAATGTGTCAGTGATTGTAACAGTAACTTCTCCCACATTGTACAATATGTGGATCATATTGTACCATGTCTTAAACCATCTTATGCTTTTAATACATTTAGTTTAATTTGTATGAATGTATGTGTTATATTATGTTTATTTAAGTTCAAATTTTGGCTATTTTTGTTTAGTTTTATAAGTTCTATTGAGATTATGTTACCCATTGTTTTTGACTTGATTTGTTGCTTGCCTGTTTTTGGCAATGAATGTTTGCCATTGTTGTTACTATTGGAAATAGCCTTGAGTCCGCTCAGGGAGATAGGACATGTTATAAATAAAGTATCATCATTATCATCATCATCATCATCATCATCATCATCATCATCATCATCATCATCATCATCATATAACTCCATTTACAAGCATCTTAAAAGCATCACAAACATACTCACATCCTTGTCATATTAAGGCAGGGGTCCCCAAACTAAGGCCTGGTGGCCGGATACGACCCTCCAAGGTCATTTACCCAGCCTTCACTCAGGGTCAATCTAAGTCTGAAACGACTTGAAAGCACACAACAATAACAATCCCATCTCATCAGCAAAAAGCAGGCCCACACTTCCCATTGAAATAAGTACAAATATAAACATATAAGTTTATATTTGTTAAAATTGTTCTTCATTTTAATTACTGTTTTGTTTTTAAGTGTTTTTTGCACTACAAATAAAATATGTGTAATGTACATAGGAATTCACTCATGTTTTTTTTCAAATTATATTCCAGCCCTCCAACAGTTTGAGGGACTGTGACCTGGCCCTCTGTTTAAAACGTTTGAGGACCCCTGTATTAAAGAGTTGAAGGAACAAGTGCATAAATGCACACAGAATAGAGCAGACAGAGAAAATGAAATGACTTATTAGAGCTGATTTGCACACATTTCACTGTGAGGATTGTGAGGTATATTGGCTTAAATCCTAAAATGCATTTTAAAGTAAAATTACAGAAGAGATGTGTCATATCCCTGCCTGCTTCTTGCATTCATCTGTGCCACCCAGAAAGCTTCTTTGTCTTGAAGGCTCTCCTTAACAATGAGGCCTTAGAAAGTAACCAGGGAAGGAAGAATCATCCCTAATTGGGTGGTTGAAACAGTTCCTCCCATCCCCAGGAGCCCCGTATCCTGTCCTAAACATAATGTTGAAAATAAGTCCTCCAACTCAAGACGGGCATTTTTGGAAACATATGAGATTTTCTGGCATATAGTGTCTTCTATAATCCAACATTTGCCAAATCCATAATTTCACAGAAAGCAACCATTCACTTATTCCTGAAAATGTGCAAGGAAAGCTCATAGAAAATATGAATTTGTGCCGTCTGTAGTCCTGTAGAAAATGTATGTTGTCTGCCTGTTTGTAGAGTGTGCAACAGCTAGGAGTAATGTAGTTGAACCACAGACAGTTGGCTTGGCTACAGTATCAATTTGTGTGGTGTAGTGGAACTGAGGCCAGGAAGACCTGCTCAGTAGTAAAGCTCACTGGGTAACTGTGGGGTTTTGTAATGATAGCATGACATAAGCTTCTTGGAGTGGAATACTAATTTGAGTGGGACGAACATAAACAAGCTCACAAACACTTCAGTGTAGCTGAATGCTACTTTTATCCTACTGAAACATAAACAGCAGAACTTGAAAATATTTGATTAAAAATAATTCATCAATACCCCTCTCCCCAATTTGTGAACATACTGAACTGAAATTTTAGAAGTTGTTATTTAAACAGGTAAATGAAAACTGCAGAAAAGGGTTAACTCATTACTGAAATTTCATATTGTATTACATTTTAAATTTTGGCATTATTTGGGAGTTATGTGGGCCATTTTGAGTGCACTGTAACCCCCTGATTCACAGATTCAATATCCACAATTTCACTTATCCACACTTAAAAAAAATAATTCCCCTACCCAAAAATATTTGTGGGCCTCTCTAGGTTCTCCAGGGCAATCCTACAGTATGCTTCAAGCCCATGTTTGGCACAGTGGGTTAAACCCTTGTGCTGCTGAACTGCTGACCTGAATCTGTAGGTCGTGGTGAGCTCCCACTGTTAGCCCTAGCTCCTGCCAACCTAGCAATCCGAAAACATGCCAATGTGAGTGAATCAATAGGTACCATCTCGACAGGAAAGGCAAAAAGGACGCTTCATGCGGTCATTCTGACCACACAATCAGGGGATATCTATGGACTACACCGCCTCCTCAGCTTGGAAATGGAGTAGAGCACTATAATAACTCAGAAGAATATCTGGGCAGGGTGGTCAAGGAATCCCACCACTGTCCTTTCCTTCAATAAGGA